CTCAGTGAGCAGGCCACTCTACCTGATGAATTGCATCTCCTGGCTTGCTTATTTCCCCCGCTCTCAGGAAGTCGGGTCTCTTTCTCCAGGGCAATTTCCACTTTAAATCTCAATCATATTCAAACGGTAGAGTGGCACAACACAGGGCAACAGTTTTTTTTTTATTAAACCCCCAACCAAGTTGATGAGGTTTTTCAGTTTTTTTTTAAATGAAACTGTGCGATTAATCTAGGCAACCAATGAATAACTAATGCTCATGGTGGGCAGTCAATTATTTGTGGATAGAGGCAGGTGGAGGCCATTCCTGGTCATTTATAATTAAATTTTAAGTTAAGAGTCAGTTTGAGCGCTCGGTATCTTTGGAGGAGCTTTGATTCAACAGCTGAAGCTTGACTTGCACGCATCATTTACCACTGTTGTTCAGTGCTAACATTCTTTTAAAGCTGCAATAAATTAGCTCCTCTAGTTAAATCCACCTGTACAATTAAAAAGGAAATGCTGAAGCCCTCACTGGTTAAAGAAATCCATAACCAGCCTTGAGGTGCTCTGATGCTTTGTGCATTATACAGAAGCTCAGATCTTCTGAGGACTGGTGTGTTATGGAGAGTGAAGGCAGAACTTGGGACAGACGCTGCCTAGGGGCTCATAGATTTTGGGTGGTTTATGATCCAAGTTGACTCACGGCATTTCCCCCGGTGTGTCCTTAGAATGCCTCTAATCCTTAAAACACTCCATTGTGCTTGACAGAAGGGCAGGATTCGGGGTCTCAGTGGGGCCTGGAAGCTTAAAGGATGTGCTGGTTGAGCCAACCCCAGGCAGGGCATCATGTAGAGTCCGCCACAGAGGTTCATGGTGCTGAACTCCTACTCGAGGGTCCTCGGAGCCAGCTGCTGGCTGGTAACAGTTTCCAGGAGCCCATTCATCAATGCAGAACCTCTGAATAGCAGCCAGATATTCAACCTAGGCTCTTTGGAAAAACCTGACTCTTGCTATATTTTTGCAAAATGTACCTATACATACAACTGACTGCAGTTTCAAGCTGAAATGACAGCTAGTGGCAGTAAAAGTCCAACAACTTATATTTATTTTTCATAGCAATTATGATTGAAGAGGCAGATTATCAATTAATAAAGACTTATTTTCATGCAGCTCCTTGCACAATACTGTGTTATAATCTCAAAACACTTACCATAGTGCATGATTGTATAGAAGCATAGAAGTTCAAAGACTTTAAAAGCAAGTTAAAATGGCATGGTTGCTACAGCAACTCACTTTTGCTTTTGTTAACACTGTTCATTAGGTTTAGGGTATGGTTTAGTGTAGGTGGTATGTTATGTTATTTTTTAACACAATAAAGCATTAACCTTTTTGGACTCACTGTATATTTCATTTCCGAACTGCCATGACAAGTGCAACAACCAACTTGGCAGATTAATTTTCATCTGTTTCGGAATAAACTGAACATTTTAGCCACTCACTGGACAGTTCACTTTAGAATTCTGACACGAAATGTGCAAGAAGCAACTTAATATAATTTTGAAGAAGTGTCTCTACAGGCATGTTTTTCCAATGATCCTGGGTTGGAAATATTAAAAAAGGAGAAAAAATGTTTGATACAGTAGTTGGTGACAATAGGTGGATACATGGCATGGTGTTGTTTAAAAGACTGTTTTAAGAAATCAAGTTTAAGGGAGTCCTATGATTTCAGAAGAAAAATAAATAAATAGGAGAATTAAGGACCACTGTACTTTTGAGAAAAGGCAGTGAATGAATTGCAGGGGATCAATTTTATTAGAATGGCTTGTGAAATGGTTCTTTCCTTATGGACAGGAAACTTGTTTTCTCAGCATGGATAAATTGGGCGAAATGTCTTAGGCTTAGCTTGTTATGTTAATTGAGGCCATGGGGGTTGTTTTTGGTGAATGGAAGTTATTAGGGTGGTGATTTATGAATGGGGAGGATTCATAGGTGTTTCTTTGTTTTGTGAATAGGGACAGAAGAGCCTGCTGGATTGAATCGACTCAGCATAACTGCAGAAATGTGCACGTTTGAGGCAGAGGCACTGTGTGATCGGCTGGCACACTACACTGTAAAAAATGTTTTATGTGCTATCTACAAAAAAAATATGGTAACAATATTACACTTAACATTTTGAGTAGTTTTTAAAGCTTGATTTCTTTAATGAAATTTACCTGAATAAACCATGTAAAATCTGCAAAATTATTTAATCTGTGACACAGTAAGTTTAATATTATTAGTGAAATGTGCTCATTCATTAAACATTAACAGATGTTTCCCTTCACTCAAAAACACATAAAATAGCACAAAATTTCAATATTTACTCTCCATATTCCGCCATATGCAAAGCATGCTGGGAACTAACAATCATCACCAAAATAAAACTGCATAATTGAGCTAATTCTCTTAAAATAAATAGGTAGCCTTTCTTCCTTAAAGGGGTCATATAATGCAATTTCATGTTTTCCTTTGTCTTTGGAGTGTTAAAAACTGTTCGTACATACAGAAGATCTGTAAAGTCACAAAGATTAAAGTCTCTTATAAAAGTGAACGCTCACCCACGCCTTCCTAAAACGACTCATTCAAACACCCCTCTACATGTCTACGTCACTGTGTGGGAAGATTTGCATAACACTGCCCAAATGTATACGCAAAGAAAGAAGGCGTAACTTTTATTCTCGCTGTAGTATTGTTGCCTTTGCCGTCATGTCGTGGAGACACTGTGTGTTTCGTTGCGAAAGACAAACTACTTTGTTTGGCCTTCCAAAAGAGCACACAACTAGAAATCAGTGGTTAAGTTTTATTTACAACACTGTTCCAGAACAGTACAACCCAAATATTCGAGTGTGTGCAGTGCATTTTACGGAGGAACCTGGTAAGGGTGTAACATTTCTGTCACACGCTTGAGGTATTCGGCCAATCACAACGCACTAGATAGCTTAATTTTTACACCGGTAGCTTAACCTTAATTTTCTTTTAATAAAAATTACAAGATGATTTATTTTTCACAGTGTACACAAGAACATTGTGCTCTTCAACCTCTAACAGAGATGGCGACAAAGAGGCAAAACTTATGGACTGCAGCTTTAAGTTGATTCTCAAAAGTCTGTGATTTTCAGTAAGGCCTGTTTGCATTTGATTTTGAGTTATCTTATTCAATTAAAAGACTGTATACAGTTAGACAGCTCAAGTAGGAAAAAACTTGTAACTGCACTGGTGCTAGCAAAGTTTCTGCTCATTGAACAAAGCATCATGCGTCATAGTGTTAGTCTATGCAGTTATCCACAACCTAACCTAAGCTCTACTCTTCTGCACAATGGTAATGACAGAAACTTCAACATAACAGAAACTCTTTCAAATGTGAAATATAACTGAACATTAAACATTAACAGATGTTTCCCTTCACTCAAAAACACATAAAATAGCACAAAATTTCAATATTTACTCTCCATATTCCGCCATATGCAAAGCATGCTGGGAACTAACAATCATCACCAAAATAAAACTGCATAATTGAGCTAATTCTCTTAAAATAAATAGGTAGCCTTTCTTCCTTAAAGGGGTCATATAATGCAATTTCATGTTTTCCTTTGTCTTGTAATTTTCCCTTAAGATCGCCCTTAAGTTTCCCTTACACTTAAGGGCGTTGCATAAAATATCCCTTAAATGTTACTTAAGGCTTTCTTTAGGTGAAAAGTCATAAACCCTTAGAATTTCTCTTAAGTATTCCTTAAACCCAATAAGTGTTGCATAAAGCCCCTTAACTGTAATTTTCCTAAGGATAACATAAGGGTTGGAAAATGGCACCTTAAGTGTTACACAAAAGTCTTCTACAAGTCATGATCGGTCGCTTTATGTTAAACAGATTTTAATTTTCCCATTTGTTCACATATAAACATTGATCAAATTTCAGTACATAACGTCATAAGGGTTGGAAAATGTCACCTTAAGTGTTACACAGAAGTCTTCTACAAGTCATGATCGGCCTCTTTATATGTTAAACAGATTTTAATTTACGCATTTATTCACATATAAACATTGATCAAATTACATACAGCACATAACGTTAATTAGCTCAAACGTGAGTGCGTCACACTCTATTTTATCTATATTCCATGCTTATTAGATAGGCTACTTCTATGAATCCGGTTTGGACTTTCAGCGTGAGAGCGCCCTCCGGCTTCGAGTATGAATGAAACACACACTGCATGAGTGTTTAGCGCTTTAATGTTCACATCGTTTTGGATACGAATAAAACGTCATGCATAGACTATCTTGTCTCTTTGCATTTAAATATATATTTATTCACATTAGTACCTGAAAACCTCTACATGGACAGAAATTATGAGACATCTTTATTTGTTGTCCAAAGATGAATAAAAGTCTTATGGGTTTAAACTGACACGAGGGTGAGTAAATTATTTTTCAGAATTTTCAGTTTTGAGTGAATTATCAATTTGAGTTTCCGTCTCGTCTGGTCCTTCTCTTTCATATTTGGTTTTCTTTTTTGTTTTCCTTATCCATGTTATATTGTTTTCTGTGAAAACTTACACCGCTATCTGCATTAACAAATAACGTGACCATGGCAACAGCCGATTTTTTTAATGTCAAAACCTGTGTCGCTGTCGTGAAACACTTAACGGTTTCCCTTTGCTAAGGGAAGTGTTTAAGGGATTATATGCAACACCCTTAAGTCATTCCCTTAGGTAAGGGGAAATCACGCCTTAAGTCTCATACTTAAGGGAAAAACTTAAGGTGCTTTATGCAACCGGGCACAGGGCCTCCAAACAGAAGGCAGAAGTAGAGTGGGAAAATGTGAGTGAGAGAGAGACAGTGAGCAAAAATGCTGCATAGAGGGCTGTGTGGAAAGGCCAGCTCACAGACTTCTCATTTCAGCTCTCAGGTTATCCAGAATGAATTGAGAAAAATGATTCACACTGAGAGTTTTTTTTCTGTAATGTTGTTCTTGTTTATTTGTTCAGATGTGGCTGCTGTTTCAAACATCTCTGCTTCCTGCCTTCATCAGTGAAATAAATTACGAGATAATGAGAAAGAGGCTTCCATCGAGGACCTGCTATTTCTGACAGTGAATGTTGTGGCGGTGTTGAGCCACAATGAAGGCAAGTGGATTGGTTATTATTTAAGACCAATATCAACATACAGAAGATTTCTGTTTTTTAAGGCTCTAAAAGAAATGTCCGTGTGTCAGCTGGCTGTTCATTTTTCAGCTGTTTGTATTGTATTTCATGACTCCTATCCTGTGGCCTCATGGGATTGTAAAATGTCCATCAAGTACATAGCCTACTTTTTATTTATTAATTTTTTTTAAAATTTATTATATACTTTTTTATTTAGACATACTATTATTTTGGTATGCTGTGTTTTCCCCACTTTTTTTTGTTAATACTGTATTCTAAAGTGTTCTTCATAGAGAAGGCAATCCCATAATCCACTGGGATGAGCTGAGTGAAATATATTCAAGATGGCAGAGAAGCATGAGAAATATATATATAGAAATAGGTATATATATTCAAATATTAAAACTGTAATTCAATACTGAAAAATAAAATAATAAATTACAATATTCAGTCTTTTATTTATTAAAATTTTACTCATTTATGTGTGCCATCTATATTAATCCATATTAAGTAAAGTTGACAAATAATGTGTCCAATGTGGACTTTTTATTTATCAATATCAGGATTTTAGAGTAACATTTTTATTATTTCTTATAAGAAAGTATTATTTTATTTTTTTTAAATAATGTTCTCATTTAGCTTTATTATATTTTTAATAACCTTTTTGCCTGTATTGGTTCATTTCAAATGCTCCTCTGGTGTGACAAATTTTTAAATGTACTGTACAAATATTTTATGTAGTCTTTTAAATTATAAAAGTCATTAAAACTGCATGTATAACAATTATGAAATAATTAGCAAGTTCTGTTTAAAATAGTTTTAGATGGAGTACAAGATGTCATACTCTAGGTCAACAGCTCTATGAGAATATTGCATCACTCCTCTCATACCACCTGTATTGAAATCCCGACTTACGTCTCGCACACACCATATGTGAGAAATGCTTTGTAGGGGGCACAGAAGTACCTATAAGGCAGCTCACTAGGTTTTGGAGCTAATCTACTTCTCTCAAACATATGCATTGTGCTGTGTTAGAAAGAAAGATTTTTCTAAAGGTGGGAATAAAGCCAAATGAGAACTGCATTTAGTGTATTGCAGAAATGTGAAGTTTTGAAGGTGAAGCGAGTGCACTTTCTCAGAAACCTCTGTTGGGGCCTAACGGTGCTATTTTTGGAAAAAAAAAATCTGGTAGCACTTTTGCTATTTTATCATTTAGCTGACACTTTTATACAAAGAGTACACTTATTAAAGGGGCCGTCCCCCTGGAGAAACCTGAGGTTAAGTGTCTTGCCCAAAGGTGCAATTATGATAATTCATGAGTTGCTCCTTGTGGGATTCAAACCTACAACCTTCTATTTATCAGCCTACAATAGATCTGCAACTTTCTGGCTACTTAGTTTACCATCCAAGTTGCTGAGGATGTAAATGTTTAAACAGTTTACCAATCGGTGGATAGTTTTGTACTAGGGGTGTAATGGTTCAGATTGCGCACGCTTCAGTTCGGTTCACTGTTTTAGGGTCACGGTTCGGTTTGGTATGTACTATGTTTAGGGAAAAAAGGACTATGGTCAAATAAAAATAAAGAAAATAATAACAAATAATCAAACTAAATGCAACAACACAAATAAATACAATAGAGCAAAGATACAAATAAAATAAACAGTGTTTAGTGTCAGGCACAGAAATTTAAAAGTAAACAAATGTAAAATAACAGTGCATATTTCACTGTTTAAATTAAATACCAATCCTTGTTAAAGTTACAAAAGCTATTCAGTCAAGAGAAGTGAGTGTTTTCCTTATATTTTGTTGTTTAACATTAAAAACACAAACAGCAGGGATAGTCTGCTGTTCCTTTAAGACATAATTCACACATCCAGTACACTGATACTGATACACATGCGTTGTCTTTCTCCACTGTTTACGTTCACTTAAGACATGGCCAGCGATGTTTGCAAGCATACTCACAAAGATGGGCATGTTGACATATTTTCTTATAGTTTGTCAGTTAAAACGCAAGTCTTGAAAGACAAATCAATATTTGCGTGGCATGCACTGTCTGATGCCACGCAATATTTGCGTGGCATGCACTGTCATGCACTGTCTCCGTGTGTGGACGCGCTACGGACAGGCCCGGATTAAGAATTCAGAGGCCCCTGGGCACAATGTCTTGTCGGGGCCCCCCCACACCCACACACGCACAATCAAGGTTTTGAATCATAGGGTACTATTTGTTGGAAACACCTCTAGCTTATACAGGATTTACACTGACAGGTTACAGCCTATGATCACAACCTGAAGGACATTATCAACACCTGTAGATATTCTCCATCATACCGGATTTACACCACATGATTGCAACAATGCTTTTCTGGAGCTTTTAAGTGTAAATAGTAATTATACTATCTATACTTTATACTGGCAGATACTATTTGCACCTCAGTATTTTTGTACATTAACAGAATGCAATAATAACATAGGGCCTCATTCGTGAAACTTGTGAAAAAATAGTAAATAAATAGTAATTTGCGCATAAAACAGACCTTCTTGAAAACTCACCTCCGGATTCACAAATGCTTCGTAAACATCAGATTTGATAGTTAAACGTGAATGTTAATAAATTACAGTCATTCGTAAACAAAGCACGTGTGCCCCAAGCGGCAACCTTCTGGTCTCTCTCTTGAAACCAACACGGAAGTGACTTAAACTGAAATTCATCGACTGGCCGCTAGAGACCAAGGTTATTATAGTTTTTAATTTTTAAATTAGTTTTATTTTAATATCGTTTTCAAATTTGCTATAAAATTCAGTTGAGTTTTTATTAGTTTCATTCATTTTTTTGTTAGTTTTAGTTTAGTTTTTATTTTGTGAACGCATTTTTATTTCGTTTTTATATAGTTTAGTTTCAGTTTTAATGAAAGTTCTGCAGAATTAACAGATCACTTCCAGAGCGCAGGCCAAAGAAAGACGTAGGCATAATTTAACCTTAGTGAGGCAAACATATAGCGACACAAAATTAACGCATGCTGAGATTGATTAGATAGTAAAAGTA